ACACACGCACACACATCCATTTTTTCTGAGGTATGCCAAAATGTTCAGAAACCTTCAAAACGTCGAGAAATGTAAAAATTTTCAATTCCGATTTTCGGCCCATTACAATAACTTACCCTACGGGAAGTAAAAATTGATAAACATTGTATTTTTGTTAGATGCGCATACGTTTCAATTATATTATTAATAATAAAATATTACCTTCAACTATATTTTTCTTAATTAGAAATAAATTAAATGTTATTTTGTAATACGAGGAGTAATTTATGGCCGACAAGATGTAAATCATTTTATAATTACAATTCAATTACATGTATGACATTCATTTTATTTGATCCTACCGATAAGCGTGTTCCCAATTCAGCAGTAATGAATAATGTCTGTTTGAACTATTGATTAATAAATAATAATTGTTGTTTCCTTCAGGTACGTCGTGTGCGTAAGCCCGGTCACGAATTGAACGTAATCGAAGTGTCTTCACCTGTATCTGCAGCCGATATGCGCTTGTTGACCCGCGGCCGATTAGCACTCACGGTGGAATCTCGCAGAAGGCCCGAAGCTTTGCGTCTTCAAGGACCTGTAGTGACCCGGGCGACATGCGAAATTTTCCAAACGGCGCTACATTCTTCCTCATCGGCGGCTGAATCCACTACTACTAGTGGTTTGGCGTGGTTGTATCTTAATCGAGATGGTGCATTGGTTTACAACATTCAAGTAAGCATTAACAATTATACAACTATGATTTAGAAATATTAATTATTATTTATCATAGAGATTTTTGTCAGTTATTAATACTATATTTTGTTATATCTTAACAGGTAGACGAATTAGATAGGACACAAACACCAATGATTACTTTAGTCGACGATAGTGGAAAAAGGCGTACTGATTAGAAGACTTACACCATCACTCACAGCCGATGGTCGAGCCACGGGTACCTTAGAACGACTTGGACCACGTGTTCTTGAACCACTTTACGCCGGAAATTTAGCCGTAACGTTGCAACTAAAACCCACCAAGAATCTTTAGTACGAGGTCGACTTGTCGCTAGGCCGGTGGCGGATGCTAGAGATTCGCCCGCTGGTGCAATCTTGTTGAAGAGGCCAAATCTAAACTCTCCTGCGAATATTGTTGGAGTAGCTTGGCTTGCAGTTGATGCTGCTGATTGCAGCTTGCATTATGATCTTTCGATTGCCGGACGTGGTAGCCATCAGAGAACAATGGAGCTGTATTTGGAAGAAGTACCGTTTATAGCTCCAGGAGCGCCGGTATCAAGAGCTTTGTTAGAAGAAGAATTTACT